ACTGAACGTAGCCCTGGTAACGAACAGCACAGTCAGGAAATAGAGCCCTACTGAACGTAGCCCTGGTAACGAACAGCACAGTCAGGAAATAGAGCCCTACTGAACGTAGCCCTGGTAACGAACAGCACAGTCAGGAAATAGAGCCCTACTGAACGTACCCTTTGTAACAACAGAAACAGTCAAAAATAGCCCCCCTACTGAACGTACCCCCCTTGGTAACGAACAGCACAGTCGGGAAAATAAGCCCAAACTGACGTACCCCCTGGTAACAACAGCACAGTCAGGAAATAGAGCCCTACTAAACGTAGCCCGGGTAACGAACAGCACAGTCAGGAATAAAAGCCCTAACTGAACGTAGCCCTGGTAACGAACAGCACAGTCCAGGAAAATGGGCCCTACTGAACGTACCCTGGTAACGAACAGCACAGTCAGGAATAAGCCCTACTGAACGTAGCCCTGGTAACGAACACACAGTCAGAAATAGAGCCCTCCCTTAAACGTAGCCCTGAAACGAACAGCACAGTCGGAAAAAAGCCCTATTTAACGTAGCCCTGGTAACGAACAGCACAGTCAGGAAATAGAGCCCTACTGAACGTAGCCCTTGTAACGATCAGCCCAGTCAGGAAATGGGTGGGGCTTTATGTGAAGGATGCTGTTGTTGTTTTTGTTGGTCTGTTCATATTATTCTCTTGAGGAACCAAGAGCAGCGATCCACGGTGTGAGGTTTCACATTTCAGGGAAATATAATTCTCCTCAGTCCTCTGTGAGCCATACAAACACAACCCCATCCAACCCTTCACCCAATTAAAACCCAGATTCACAGCCTGACTGAATCACAACACCAAAGGGGCTCTTTATAGAGCATCAGCTAATACAAGAAGAAGGAGAGAATGGTTTTAACACTGACCAGATGAACGATGACTGTTCTCTGCTCACCTCCCTGAGCTCTCCTCTCCTCTCCACCGCACCGCACCCCTCCTCTCCTCTCCTCTCCACCCCACCCCACACCACCCCACCCCACCCCGTCCTCTCCACCCCCCCCACCCCTCCTCTCCCCTCTTCTCTTCTCTTCTCCATCCTCCTCTCTTCTCTTCTTTCTCCTCTCCACCCCACCCCTCCCTCCATCATCCACCCCTCCTCTACCTATTCTCTTCTCTCTCTTCTCTCTCCTCCTTCTCTTCCTCTCCTCGTCCACCCCCTCCTCTCTTCTCTCTCCTCTCTCGTCCTCTCCACCCTCCGCTCTTCTCCTCTCCTCTCCACCCTTCCTCTCTCTCTATCTTCTCCTCTCCTCTCCTCTCCACCCTCTTCTCTTCTCTTCTCTTCTCCTCTCCACCCCACCCCACCCCTCCCCATTCATTCCTTCCAGTATTTAATTGTTGTTGTTAATTAGCCCTGGTCATGTTTAGCCTTGGAGCCTAGGAGGATGTACAGCTGGGTGGTAAATTAACCCATAATCCTCGGCACTGTGGGCCTTCGATCCGAGTGGCCGCCCTACCCACAAACCTCCTCTTCGTCTCTGCAGCCTCCTCTTCGTCTCTGCAGCCTCCACAGCACCGCCAGGACAACCAAATGAGCCCTAATCACCCAGGCCTTGCTGGATTCTACCTTCTTATTCCACATTTGTACTTGTCGTCTCGGCAAAGTCCCCTAATTGCATTCCAGTGGCATTTCTATCCCCTGTGTGTTTTATTGAACTCAGCCAGACTGAACTCAGCCAGAGGCATGCCCCTCAGAGAGAGAGAGAGAGGGAGAGAGAGAGAGAAGAAGGAGATGAAGAGAGAGAGAGCGAGGGGGGAAAGAGAGAGAGAGAGAAAGAGAGGCAAGCTTATGCGCTAGCTCTCATGACTGAATGCCCAACAACCTAACTACTTTAACACATTAAACAACACGGTTCTAACATACCATATCCCTCCCTTCCTCCCTCCCTCATTGCCTCTTCGTATTTGTCCTCTCGGTTCCTGTGTAACCCCTGTGGCCCCTAGTGTAAGGTGACATTGTTCTCCCAGGTACGACCGCACCGTCACCGCGGCGACACTACTGAGGGAGCAGCTGTCTGCCTCATTAGGCCGAGGTCAGATGGGGTTCACAGTGCATGCTGGGAAAGACAGAGGTCCTCGCAATGACATTCTAGTTCCCTTTGGCTCAAAAACTCAGGAAGTAGAGAGAGATCTGAGGGCGTGGGTGTTATGGAATTAAGTTAGAGAGGGTGAGGGAGTTGAGACGAGAGAGAGAGACGAGAGAGATAGAAGAGAGATATCGAGAGCGAAGTAGAGTGGCACGCGAGAGCTCGCCAACCGCTCAGATAGAGCAGATAGCTAGAGTGACGCTGCTGCGCAGCGAGATAGAGACTATAATAATAGAGCGAGAGAGCGCTCTCTCATCTCTCTCTCTCTCACTGGCTCATCTCTCTTGCTACTCTCTCTTCTACTCGACTAGACCTATTCTCTCTACTCTCTCTCTCTCTCTCTTCTCTCTCCCTCCTCTCGCTCCCCCTCTCCGCTCTCTCCTCTCGTCTCTCTCTCGTCTCTTCTCTGCTCCCTCTCTTCGCTCTCTCTCCTCTCTCTCTCTCTCGTCTCTCTTGTTATTCTCTCTCTCCTTCATCTCCTCCTCTCTCTCTCCTCTTTCCTCTGTTTCCCTCTCTCTTCTCTCTCCAGATATTTAAGATAGACAAGAGATTACAATATGCAGAGGCAGAGAGAGGGTGGGCTTGTTGGGTGTTGAGGTTTTTTACTTTCTCTTCTCGCTTTGGGGTGGGGTCTATCTCTCCCTCCACACTCTCTAGAGAAATCACTTTCTTGTCTTTTGTATATTGAAATGTAGGAGGTAGGTAGGCGATAAAAAGAACACTGACCATTTTTTTGACACAATTGCCAGAGCACTTCTCCCTTAACAAGACTTGAATCCCTTCCCTGTAACAATGCATGTGTGATGTAAACAAGCCTAATCCAAATATCTAACTAACAACAAGAAACACATCACCATCACCATCATCATCATCATAATCCACATGATCATAGCTGCATCAAACTGCTGTTATCTGCAGTCATCTATTTCACAGCTCTACATAAAGCACATCAGCCACTGTGCACAGCCATTACATTAACTGCCTCCCAAATGGCACCCTATCCCCTATGTAGTGCACTACTTTTGACCAGAGCCCTATGGGACCAGGTTGAAAGTAGTGCGATTCGAAACAAAACCATTATTATCATTACAGATGTAGAAATGTTCCTTTACTGAATAGTCACGCTTCAGTCAACAGGGAATGATTGGCTGCAGTGAATACGTCCCAAATGGCACCCTAATATCTACACAGTGTATTACTTTTAGTGCACTACATAGGGAATAGGGTGCCATTTGGGACACAGGGAGTGTTCCACAGTTTGTAAGCAGAAACCAAATGAGGAAAGGCATACCATGCTACAGCTAATAACATTGGTAGTTAAGCTTATGAGACAAGGTTTATCTCAATGAACGAAGCTGAAGAGTCTATTAACAGTCCTTCTGGTACTGAGGGTTTTAACACTGAAGATCATGGTGTGTTATAGAAACAGCCTGGAAAACCTATATGTGATGACTCACACACACACACACACACACACACACACCACATACACACACACACACACACACACACACACACACAACTCACACACACACACACACACACACACACCACACACACACACACACACACACACACACACACACACACACACACACACACCACACACACACACACACACACAACACACACATACACACATCACCACACACACACCCACACACAAACACACACCACATCCCACACACAAACACATACAAACAATACACCAAACAAATACTACATTCACACACACACACATACACACCACACACACTACACAACACACACACACACACACACACTAACCAACTCACCCTCTCATAACAGAGCCAGCCAAGCGGGAGGCAGTCCAGGAATGAGACCGTTGTGAAAATGATGGAATAGAAACTGTGTCCAAGAACCTGAAATATGTATCAAACATGTCCGTAGCCTGGTCCTAAAGGGCACCTTAGTCCCGACCAGCGCCCATAGGACTCTGGTCAAAAGTAGTGCACTACATAAGGAATAGGGTGCCAGTTGGGACGATACCATAATACATTAGTGCACTATATAGGGAATAGGGTCGCATTTGGAACACAACATTAGTCTATTACAGTATAGCTGTGCCTGTGTAATGCCTAAACCTCTCAGAATGGTTCTACTTGATGACAGGCAGGGAGAATGGAGAGGTGGTGAGTGGTGCTGTTTAAGTGCTCTTGTAAAGTGGCCACTCCAGAACCAGAGAGAGAGAAAGAGAGAGAGAAGAGAGAGAGAGAGAGCGAGAGAGAGAGAGAAGAGAGAGAGAGAGAGAGAGAGAGAGAGAGAGAGATGGAGAGAGAGAGAGAGAGAGAGAGAGAGAGAGAGAGAGAGAGAGATGGAGAGACTTTCTCTGACTCTGACAAGGTTACTTATCATCATGCGAGCGTGGTTGACTGATAGAGATGTCCCCACGCAGCCCAGGATAGCATTCTTCTACAACCCTTCAACAGGTCTGCCAACCATCAGGAAAATATCTGCTCTCTACCTGATCACAAAGAACACCCTTTGGAGAAGATATGAGAGGGAGAGGGAGATGGGGACGAGGGAAGGGGAGAGAGAGAGAGAGAGAGAGAGAGAGAGAGAGAGAGAGAGAGAGAGAGAAGAGAGAGATTAAGAGAGAGGATATAGTATATATATAGAGAGATAGAGAGAGATAGATATAATAGATAAGATATGATATATATCTATACTTCCAATACAATATTCCTTAAAAATTTGAATTTGACATTGAGAGAGAGAGAGAGTAACAGCGATATGGAATCCAGGCTACATAATACAAATAATTTATAGACTTTGAAAATAATCAAGATTCAAATTGACAATCAGAGACCAACACCACCTTGATCCATCAATGTGAGTTTAAAAAAAGAACCTCATGAATGTCCAGTTTGCACAAAGAAATCCTCCCTGCAACCTGGTTTTAAAGAACCTGTGTGAGACTTTCTTACAGGAGAGGAGTCAGAGACCTTCAGCGGGGTCTGAGGTACAGGAGAGGAGTCAGAGAGATTCGGCAGGGTCTGAGGTACAGGAGAGGAGTCAGAGAGCTTCAGCAGGGTCTGAGGTACAGGAGAGGAGTCAGAGAGCTTCAGCAGGGTTCTGAGGGTACAGGAGAGGAGTCAGAGAGCTTCAGCAGGGTCTGAGGTACAGGAGAGGAGTCAGAGAGATTCAGCAGGGTCTGAGGTACAGGAGAGGAGTCAGAGAGATTCAGCAGGGTCTGAGGTACAGGAGAGGAGTCAGAGACCTTCAGCAGGGTCTGAGGTACAGGAGAGGAGTCAGAGAGCTTCGGCAGGGTCTGAGGTACAGGAGAGGAGTCAGAGAGCTTCAGCAGGGTCTGAGGTACAGGAGAGGAGTCAGAGAGCTTCAGCAGGGTCTGAGGTACAGGAGAGGAGTCAGAGAGATTCGGCAGGGTCTGAGGTACAGGAGAGGAGTCAGAGAGATTCAGCAGGGTCTGAGGTACAGGAGAGGAGTCAGAGAGCTTCAGCAGGGTCTGAGGTACAGGAGAGGAGTCAGAGAGCTTCAGCAGGGTCTGAGGTACAGGAGAGGAGTCAGAGAGCTTCGGCAGGGTCTGAGGTACAGGAGAGGAGTCAGAGAGCTTCGGCAGGGTCTGAGGTACAGGAGAGGAGTCAGAGAGATTCAGCAGGGTCTGAGGTACAGGAGAGGAGTCAGAGAGATTCGGCAGGGTCTGAGGTACAGGAGAGGAGTCAGAGAGATTCAGCAGGGTCTGAGGTACAGGAGAGGAGTCAGAGAGCTTCAGCAGGGTCTGAGGTACAGGAGAGGAGTCAGAGAGCTTCGACAGGGTCTGAGGTACAGGAGAGGAGTCAGAGACCTTCGGCAGGGTCTGAGGTACAGGAGAGGAGTCAGAGAGCTTCGGCAGGGTCTGAGATGCTCTGCAGTCTGCACGGTGAGAAAATCAAGCTCTTCTGTCTGGAGGATAAACAGCCTGTCTGTCTGATTTGTCAAACATCCAAAAAGCACAAGAGTCATGGCTGCTGTCCGATAGATGAGGCTGCTCAGGACCATCAGAAGGAACTGCTTCTACATCTGCATTGCTTGCTGTTTGGGGTTTTAGGCTGGGTTTCTGTATAGCACTTTGTGACATCTGCTGATGTAAAAAGGGCTTTATAAATAAGATTTGATTGATTGAACTGCAGACTGTCCTGAAGCCTTTACAAGAGAAGCTGGAGGTCTTTAATACAGTTAAACTAATCTGTGATCAAACAGCTGAGCACATTAAGAGCCAGGCCCAGCACACAAGAGAGGCAGATTAAGGAGGAGTTTAAGAAGCTTCATCCGTTTCTACAAGAGGAAGAGGAGGCCAGGATAACTGCACTGAGGGAGGAAGAGGAGCAGAAGAGTCAGATGATGAAGAAGATTGAGGAGAAGATCAGAGAGATGTCATCACTTCCAGATACTATCACAGCCATAGAGGATGAGCTGAGAGATGAAGACATCTCAGTCCTGCTGAACTACAAGGCCACAAAGGACAGAGACCAGAAGACATCTCAGTCCTGCTGAACTACAAGGCCACAAAGGACAGAGACCAGAAGACATCTCAGTCCTGCTGAACTACAAGGCCACAAAGGACAGAGACATCTCAGTCCTGCTGAACTACAAGGCCACAAAGGACAGAGACCAGAAGACATCTCAGTCCTGCTGAACTACAAGGCCACAAAGGACAGAGACCAGAAGACATCTCAGTCCTGCTGAACTACAAGGCCACAAAGGACAGAGACATCTCAGTCCTGCTGAACTACAAGGCCACAAAGGACAGAGACCAGAAGACATCTCAGTCCTGCTGAACTACAAGGCCACAAAGGACAGAGACCAGAAGACATCTCAGTCCTGCTGAACTACAAGGCCACAAAGGACAGAGACCAGAAGACATCTCAGTCCTGCTGAACTACAAGGCCACAAAGGACAGAGACCAGAAGACATCTCAGTCCTGCTGAACTACAAGGCCACAAAGGACAGAGACCCAGAAGACATCTCAGTCCTGCTGAACTACAAGGCCACAAAGGACAGAGACCAGAAGACATCTCAGTCCTGCTGAACTACAAGGCCACAAAGGACAGAGACCAGAAGACATCTCAGTCCTGCTGAACTACAAGGCCACAAAGGACAGAGACCAGAAGACATCTCATGGGTGGCAGGCAGCCTAGCGGTTAAGAGCGTGGGCCAGTAACCAAAAGTTTTAATCCCAGAGCCGACTAGGTGAAACATCTGCCGATATGCCCTTGAGCAAGGCACTTAACCCTAATTGGTCCAGTAAGTCGCTCTGGATAAACACGTCGGCTAAATAACTAACATGTAAGTGTAATTTCTGCAGAACTACAAGGAACTACAACTACCAGGAAACACTGCCAGATCCACAGCTGTTCTCACTGTTAGTCTACATCTGATGTGGCCAAACAAATCAAATCAAATCAAATCAAATTAAATGTTATTTGTCACATGCTTCGTAAAACAACAGGTGTAGACTAACAGTGAAATGCTTACTTACGGGCCCTTACCCACAATGGAAAAAATATATATACACTACCAGTCAAAAGTATGGACACACCTATTCATTCAAGGTCCTCCGTAGCTCAATTGGTAGAGCATGGCGCTTGTAACGCCAGTGTAGTGGGTTCGATCCCCAGGACCACCCATACGTAAAAATGTTATGGGCACATGACTGTAAGTCGCTTTGGATAAAAGCCTCTGCTAAATGGCGTATTATCAAGGGTTTTTGTATCAGTGGGTTCTGCTTCTGTCTGAATCAGGGGTTATATTTTTTGATTGTCTGATCTTGATGTGTAATCTTCTCGTCTTAATAGAAGACTGTTATTTCTGAAGGTTTTTCTTGGCCATGATCATGACATGTGGTTGTTGTTCTATCTACTATAGTAGGGTTTACAATCAAAAACACATATTTTGACCAACGGGTAAAATAATATGTTAATTGTGTAGATAATCCTCGAAGAAAACCAATGGTCCAAACCTCATGTCTCGATCAAAATCCATTCAAAAAGTTATTGGGAGTTTTTACCGTTGTAGGACGGCCAGAATTAGGGCGACTAAATCAATGGAGGCAAGTGGAAAGTGGGAACAAATCTGGAACGTAGCAGTATACCAGCTAATCTGGATTCTGTGCGAGACTGGCTGCCTCACAATATAGATGTAAAATGGATATTGATTTTGAGACATTTCGTAGTATTTTCATATTTTAGTATTAATTTGAAATTCCTGTTATTTTTTCCGAAGATCTCTCACAAAAAACAAGTGTATCTTTGTGAAATGTTAACGGAGCACGTGCCAAGCTTTTTTTTTATTTTCAAAGCCTTTTACATTTAATTCAGTTCGTGTCATGCTAATAAAAACATGTTTTGACTCCGCGGAAACAACTTTGAAGATGACGACCACAAAAATGTAAAATCCTCAAAAGTTGTTACAAGAAACCTATGTCAACAGAGGTCGGCGCTTATTATCGGATGTATTAGATTACGAATGTTAATGATATGTTAGAGAATATACTCCGTATACAAGATGACGTACAGTATGTACTCTCCATTCATTCCACTAAACCAGAACATTTGGGGAGCAATGTTGCATCAATATACACTGAGTGTACAAAACATTAGGAACACCTTCCCTCAGAACAGCCTCAGTTCGTCGGGCCATGGACTCTACAAGGTGTCGAAAGCGTTCCACAGGGATGCTGGCCCATGTTGACTCCAATGCTTCCCACAGTTGTGTCAAGTTGGCTGGATGTCCTTTGGGTGGTGGACCATTCTTAATACACACGGGAAACTGTTTAGCGTGAAAAACAGAGCAGTCTTGCGGTTCACAAACCGGTGCACCCTGGCACCTACTTCCATACCCTGTTCAAAGGCACTTAAATATTTTTGTCTTGCCCATTAAACCCTCTGAATGGCACACATACACAATCCACGTCTGAATTGTCTCAAGGCTTAAAAATCCCTCTTTAACCTGTCTCCTCCCCTTCATCTACACTGATTGAAGTGGATTTAACAAGTGACATCGATAACGGATCATAGCTTTCACCTGGATTCACCTGGTCAGTCTATGCCATGGAAAGAGCAGGTGTTCAAAAATGTTTTGTACACTCAGTGTGCGTAATGTCTGTGTCACAAATGGCACCCTATGGCTCTTTCAGGTCAAAAGTAGTGCACTATAATTAAAGGCAATAGGGTGTCATTTAGGGACACACACAACATCTAGAAGGCCTAATGAATATATTCACTATTAATAGTCCACAGCCCACTGAACTGAACCAGAGTTTTCAATTTGGAGGTAGAAAACGTTAGAAAATGTCTCTATTGAAGGAAGAGAAGAAGAACGTGGAATTAGCGGAGGAGGAATGAGCCTCGCCTCCCCAAAAGCCTTTTTCATTTTCAGCTGATCGCACTACATAATGGAACTCCTTGTCTTGATGAATGGCCAGAACGCGCTGAAGCACAACGACAGAGAATAAACTGTAACCTGCAGCCCAGGCAGGAGGGAGGAGGAAGCCACAGCATGGGAAGAAAACAAATAAATACACTATTTATACAAAAGTATGTGGACAACCCGACAAAAATGAGTGGATTCTGCAATTTCAGCCACACACGTTGCTGACAGGTGTATGAAATCGAGCACACAGCCATGCAATCTCCATAGACAAACATTGTCAGTACAATGGCCCGTACTGAAGAGCTCAGTGACTTTCAACGTGGCACCGTCATAGGATGCCACCTTTCCAACAAGTCAGTTCGGGGCTGTTTTTCATGGTTCGGGCTAGGCCCCTTAGTTCCAGTGAAGAAAAATCTTAACGCAACAGCATACAATGACATTCTACACGATTCTGTTCTTCCAACTTTGTGGCAACAGTTTGGGGAAGGCCCTTTCCTGTTTCAGCATGACAATGCCCCCGTGCACCAAGCGAGGTCCATACAGAAATGGTTTGTCGAGATCGGTGTGGAAGAACTTGACTGGCCTGCACAGAGCCCTGACCTCAACCCCCATCGAACACCTTTGGGATGAATTGGTTCTACTAAGCTATATGGAATTGTTTTAAGAAGGTCAAACCAAGGATCATTTTGCTATTTGACCCCTTTGAAGTATCCCCCCCCAAAAATATATAAGAACATTATTTGATGACACATTTTATTTGGTCATGTAGTGTACGTCTATATCCCAATGGTACCCTATTCCCTTTATAGTGCATAGGGCCCTGGTCAAAAGTAGTGCACTATATAGGGAATAGGGTGCCATTTGAGATGCTGACTGAAACTAGTCTGAGAAAATAGCCTTTGCTTTTCTGTTCATTACAGGAATAATAACTACTATTCATGTTCATATAAAATGAAAAACCAAGCAGTTTATCCAGCCCACAAGTGTATTTATTGATGGTTGATATGCCTGTAATATACATGACTCACTATACAAACAGATATATCTGTGTCTCTAATAAACTATTGTAAGATTGTAATTTACGTCATTTAGCAGACGCTCTTATCCAGAGCGACTTACAGTTAGTGAGTGCATACATTTTCATACTGGCCCCCCGTGGGAAACGAACCCACAACCCTGGCGTTGCAAGCGCCACGCTCTACCAACTGAGCTACAGGTGATTGTAATCATCTAATAACCTATCCTAAGATTTTTAATGTTTAATTTCATCTGATAATTATCTATGAGGTAACACATTCATGCAACCGATTATGTTGTTCAATCACCATACTGTATAGTCATCAATGCTCCTGAGTTCAGACCCTTTTTATTTTCATGCACCAAAGAGGGCTGGATATCAGGGGTGTATCTCTTCACTAGGGTAACGTTTCAGCTGATGATCATCTATGATAATAATAATACATGCATAACCAATGTTGTTCAATCAACCCACAATCAACGTGTCACTTTAGAACCTACGGTAATCACATAGTTATTTTATGACGGCCCCGAAGATGGCTGGATATCAGGGGTGTATCTGAGCAGTGTTTCATGTCCCTGGCGCTATAATTTACAACTAGGGTTACACAATTTTAATAACTTTCCCAAAATTCCCAGGATTTCTGGAAAACCTGGGAATTTTGGGAAACTACTCTGTACAATACAACCTTCTGGTGCTCTGGAATGGAGCTCTATCCATTAGGACATTTTACTAGCATGTAATTAAGATTTAGACGACAATGAATCATTCCACTGCAGTTGGCTTCACATTCACAACCAAGTTGGCATCTACTGTTTGTTTGAACCCATGCATATACACTGCTCAAAAAAATAAAGGGAACACTTAAACAACACAATGTAACTCCAAGTCAATCACACTTCTGTGAAATCAAACTGTCCACTTAGGAAGCAACACTGATTGAAAATACATTTCACATGCTGTTGTGCAAATGGAATAGACAACAGGTGGAAATTATAGGCAATTAGCAAGACACCCCCAATAAAGGACTGGTTTTGCAGGTGGTGACCACAGATCACTTCTCAGTTCCTATGCTTCCTGGCTGATGTTTTGGTCACTTTTGAAT